TCTCTCTCTCACACACACATACACACACACATACACTCTCTCACATGTACACACACACATACACACACTCTCTGTGTCACACACACATGCCTTTGTTTTTATCTATGTACATCTTTACTTCTACTTTTTCATCATGTGGATCTATGCCTGTATTTATATATAGATCATACACACACACACACACACGCACACACACGCACACACACACGCACACACATGCACGCACACACACGCACACACATGCACACACACATAAAATTTATAATCTATCATCTATCTAGAAAGCACTTTATACTGCTAGTTCTTAGTCTTCAATTTACACTAAACATTTTGGTGAAATATTTCTCCTCCTTTGCCTCCTTTGTCTCCCTCTTCTCCTTCTTCTTTCTCTGTCTCTGTTTCCTTCTTCTCCTCTTCTTCCTCTTCTTCCTCCTCTTCCTCCTTTTCCTCCTCCTCCTCCTCCTCCTCCTCTTCCTCCTCTCTGTCCTCCTACTCCTGGTACAGTTTCCAAGGTTCTGTATATCATGTGTACAGTGTGTTCCATCCTGGCTTTTGTGTCTCCTGCAACATGCTATCCTAGCCAGCACTCTCGCCGGGTCTCTCCCAGGAAGCATGTGTAAGGTAGGTATGGAACACTCAGGGAATTCATGCTTGGTCACCAGGTCACTAATCACAGGCAACTGTAGTGATACCCTCTGCCAGCAGAATATATTAATTGTCTGGATTCCTATCCTAAAGGTGCTGCCAAGAACTCTTGCCATTCCTTTTGTTGAGGTATCCAGGAGTTTGGGACTCCCTCCTATCCTGGTCCACTCTGACCTGGTGCTGACAAACTGGACCAAAAGGAACCCAGAGGGGTAAGGAGGGAAAGGGTTCTTCAGATAGCAACAGACTGAGGTTCAGGAAAGACTCAGGACTTCAACTGTCCTCACAGAAAAGGCTCAGGGTCTTAGGGCTACTTTATAGTGAGTCATGTACGCCCATTCATTTGCCTTAGGGGTCCAGTGAAAGCGAATACACACATTTAAACCTGAGATGCTTCTTCTTCCTGGGCTCTCGGCACTCTGGCTTGCTGCTTCCAGTTCCCATCTGGATTCTCGATCGGACCTTCAGCCTGCAGTTGTAATAATCATGCTGGGATGTTGTTTTCTCAGCATGCTCCAAGCTCCACTCAAGTCAGGCTAGGACTGGCTGTCAGGGGGTGATCCATGTGATTATAAACGTCAGGTCTGTGGGATTCTGATTTGCGCCTTTGATTCCATCTAGTTTACACCATTCCACAGTTGTCCTGGGCACAAAAGCATTTATCTATTGACTTCTCAACAAACAACAAATCCATGGAACCTTCCTTTTCACAGTCAAATCTGTCTCAAGTGATCGACGCAAGGCAGCATTTACTTTTGTAATCAATTAAAGCAGCAAAAGAGAAGTTGAGGCTGGACGTAAAGGGACCTTCCTTGACATGATGGCTATAGGTAGCCATGCAGTGCTAAAAGAGATGGTTGAGATGTGCTGTGGACACTTCCAAGAGACCCTTCCTTGTAAGAACTGGGGAGGGCTCTTCTCATCTAAGGACTAGTGAGCCTTAGAACTTTGTGCTTTCTAGGATGATGATGTCATATGATGATGATGTCATATGATGATGTCATATGATGATGTCATATGATGGTGTTATATGATGTCATGGTGGTGATGTCATATGATGTCATATGATGGTGGTGCTATATGATGATGTCATATGATGATGATGTCATATGATGATTGTTATATGATGTCATATGATGGTGATGTTATATGTTGATGCTATATGAAGATATCATATGATGGCATCATATGTTGATGATAAGTTTGTTGGTGACTGGGGACTAAATGAACCTTCACATGTGAAGCAGGTGCTTCCCCCTGCTTTGTATCCCCAGCCTTCTTCAGCATTTATTTAGATACAGTTTCTCACATAGCATTTATTTAGATACAGTTTCTCACACAGTGTTTATTTAGATACAGTTTCTCACACAATGCCCAAGCTGACCTGAAATTCACACTGTAGCATAAGCAGTCCTTGACTTGGTGATCCTTATACCTCAGTCCCTTGACTATCCGGAACGAACCACATACACAACCAGGCCTGGCTTGATCTTTGACCAATTATACAGTAATAAAAAAAACTGATCAGCACTGAAAGGTACTAAATCTAGCTTAGAATTGGAGCGGGCAAGATGATGAACATATGTGCCTGAACCATTGTGGTGACTATGAAGCTGAGTTTATGATTCAAGAGAAATAGAGAGGAAGTTTGAAGGGGAATGGATCTGCACTGGGGTGACAGGGTTGAAAACAACCACAGGAAATGAATGTCCCAGCAAGTGAGATACAGGGCCCAAGATGGAGATACAGGCCTGGGGCTTCCCCACCATATTTCTTCTGGGTGATCTTCTTCCTGAGTCTTTTAAGGTATCTACCCAGAGCTTATTAATGCTTTGAAGAAATGAAAGAAACAGAAGCAACCCCCCACCCCCTAGCAATTCAGTATTGAGACAGAGCAGCCCATGATGGATGTCAGAAATCAGAATAAACAGTATGTTTAGAATTCCAGGAGAACAGCAGAGAAAGCCTGGTGCTGGGGCAGATGCTGATCTAAGGTCCCTCCTAATAGGTGGGCAGGATTAGAGTAACTGGAATGGGATCTACACTGAGAGACATCTGAAGAGAAGCAAGCCTGAGTGTGTGCCTGTACAGAGGCACAACACTGTCACTGTCAGCTGAGATCTGGTTTCTGCCGTCCCCCAGTGGCTCATTGTCCATCCTAGGTGTGTGTCAATACATACACGTGCCTGGGTATTGCAGACGAATGTGGGATCCTGGGTACCTGGGACCTCAAGAATTATATCTGGTTATCAACTGGTTTTTTTCTCTCTCTTTCTCTTTGTTGTCGCCAATAACTACAACTCGACCAGACCGTTGGAAATAGGGTAAGATGTCCCTGTAGAACCACCCACTGTTACCTTTAAAAGCTCTTGATAAAACGAGGCCGGGGAGCATGGCCAGCTGTACGGACAGCACAGCATCAGCTGCCTATGAGCTTGTGAAAACTCGAAGAAATGTGTTAAAAAGTCAATAGTTCAAGCATTATCTCTGATGGAGGCTACCTTGTAAGGGTGCAGGGATCAAATTTTCTTAACCACATGTTCCTGTCTGTCCACGGTAAAACGTGTAGTGTAAGAAAACAACAAACCGTGACTCCGTAAAAACTCACAGAGATTTCTTATCTCTGTAGAACGTCTGCAAAAGGCCAGATACAGGCAGGTCACAGTGACAGGAGGGTCCCTTTGAAATCCCTTCTCACCTGATGGACTGGAGCCCTCGTGGGTAGGTCTGGTCTATAGTCATAGGCTCCTGGGGGGCAGAGCTGGAAGAGAAGCCACAGTTGCTCGCTGCTCACACACCCTCCTCAGCTCTGTGAAGGATGAGGGTGGCAGGCAAAGATTCCCCAGGCTAACACCTCTACTGGACCGTGGCCATGCGTGACTCACATCCGCTTTGCTGTTTTGAGGTTTGAGCCTTGGCTTTGCTTTCTCTTGAGATGCTGTGGACAAAGCAGATGTGTGCCACTACTCATCTGGGTTACGAATCAGGTCAGATTTGGATCTGATGGAAAGGCAGGTAGATGGCAGGTTGATTAGAAATGACCCTACTTTCTCTCTCTTTATTTTTTCCTTCTCTCATATATTACATTCTAAGCACAGTTTCCCCTCCCCCACTCCTCCCAGTCCTCCTCTCACCTCCCCTCTCCCCTAGATCCACTCCTACTAGCCTCCCCCCACCCCCCCCAAAAAAGCAAGCCTCCCAGAGGTATCCTCCAAACATGGCCTGACAAAGTTCCAAATAACAGCCCCTCATATCAAGCCTGGATGAAGCAACCCAGTAGGAGGAAAGGGGTCCAAAGAGCAGGCAGAAGAGTCAGAGACACTATGCCACCCTCACTGTTAGGAGTTTCACAAGAACACCAAGCTACAGACAACCACAACATATGAGCAGACGGCCTAGGTCATACCCATGCAGATTCTGTGACTACCACTTCAGTCTCCATGAGCCCCCATGATCCCTGCTTAGCCCTTGATTCTGTGGCCTGTGTTCTCACAGTGTCCTTACCCCCTCTGGCTGCTACAATCTTTCCTGCCCCTCTTCCCTAGGGTTCCTGGGGCTCCACCTACTGTTTGGCTATGGGAATGACAGGCTTCCAGCCCCTGCTCTGTGGCACCATTTCATCCTAGTTAGAGCTCTAGTCAGGTACAGAGGCACACCCATAATGTTCACAGTTAGCAGGCAAGGACAGGAGGATTGTGAGCTTGGGGACAGTATGCAATAATAGTGCGACCCTGCCTCACAAACAAACAAACAAACAAAAACAACCCGAAAAGTAAAGAGGAGGCTAGGTTAAATTCTGAAACCACGCCTGATCAGGCACCCGAGAATAACCATTCTATGTCCCTAGACAAGTCTCCTCTCTTCCCTGAGCCACAGCTTCAGGTTCCTAAAAGAGAACATGGGATCCACTTTGATCACTCACTCCAGCTCCAAGACCCCTTAGCTTTGGGCAAAATATGATGTGACCCTAAATGGCCAGACACCTCTTGCTAAGAATGGTCCAGCGTGGTTCCCGTGACTCTCCCACTAGGGCGGAGGGTAGGATCATCAAGGCTGTGGAAAACAGCCGGAGTCCTCAGATCATAGGAACATGGCTCTAACTGATCTGGTCTTCTTCCTTCCTTGGCCTCTTCCCCCAGTAACCTGGAGATCATCATTTCTTTTCCCGGGGGAGAGAGCCTGAGGGGCTTCATCCTGGTGACAGTCTTGGTGGAGAAGGCAGCAGTGCCTGGCATTAAGGTATCCCCTTACTTCATAGCACCTTCATCTTTAGTCAAGAACTCACCCTGTCCTCTCCCTATGGTAGTTTTCCCCACAGAAACAGACACAGGCCTCCTCCTCATAGGGATGACTAGGAAGGAAGAGATCTGAGTTCTAGCCTGTGGTGTTTCCTTTTAGCCTGGAGTGAACCAATTTCTCAGTCTCCACACAGGCATCACGAGCAGGGTGCAACAGACACCACTAGCTGTCCCTAGCTGTCACTGTGCTTCATGGCCCTGCAAAGGCTAGAGTCCCGTAGGTCAAAAAGAAAAAGAAAAATCTGCTTTTATCTGTTTTATGAAAAGACAGATAAAAGAAAATCCATACTTGAAGGAGCAGGCAAACTTGGCCCACTGAAATAGCAACTGAATTAAGACCTGAGTTGCAGATGGGGACATATATTTATTTCAAGATACCAACTCTGCAGATATGCAGAAGAAATGGTCTCTTCCAGATAGCAGGCATCATTAAAGTCATCCAGGTGACCCAGACCTGAGGGGCCTCAAAATTCATTTTTTTCTCCCTTTCAGATCTCACAGGTTATAGCAGGGCAGGGTATAAGACAATTGACAATAAACCACGAGCTCTAATATCTGACGTTTATATTAATATAGATTTATGGCTTTACTGAATGCCTGCTCTGTGGTGGAGTGCCAGTGATGGCACAGAGGGAGTTGTGGACCTGGGGCATCTGATGTCTGATATCACACAAGAACTCTGCAGTGAGACTGTCCCAGCTGGGGATGCCAGAGTACAAACGACCGTGATATGGGAAATCCAGAAGGAATGAGAAAACACTAGCGCTGAGGCCCATGATGTCACAATTTATGCCAGAGATATTTCAGCAGTGTGGGCTGCTCCGTGGGGATCTGCATCCTGCGTGGATTTTAGTGAAAAGTTACTTCACAGCGCCTGAACTGAGAACGCGAATCTCATTCCTAGGCCCTAGTTCAGGGAGTGGAGGCCATTCGGCAACACAGCCAGGACACCCTGCTGGAGGCTCTGCAGCGGCTGAGACTCTCCATCCAGGACATCACCAGAGCCTTGGCCCAAATGCATGGTAAGATGCTGGAGCCTCCAGTGGCCTGCCTGGGCAGGCCTTACGTGGATGATGGTGATTCATCTCTCCACAAGATGGCGCTGGTGTTCTACCTTTATTTTTCGTAAAGCACCCCAGAGAGGTGTTTTTTTTTTTTTCCGGTTGGCAGAAATATTTTTGTAGAATCGTTCTTTATATTTTCGTGTGATTGGGGTAGTTTTCCTTCTTCAGGGTCCAGATACGCCTTTGGCAGGCTGAGCTTTTGCTGAAGCCTAGGAGATTGCATGGGTCGCAAGAGGGATGTTGGCTGGTTGTGCTTCAGCCTCTCAGGTTGGGCTTGCTGGTGGTCAGGGCTGTCCCGTGGAGGTGTCTGCAAGCCCCTCAAAACCATTTGCTTCTCCTCTCTGTGGGTTCTGAGACACCTGAGCCTAGCCTTAGGCTTTTCTGGCCAGTACCAACAGGAGTTGCTGCGGCAGGCAGGAGCAACTGGCACACCCTTCCCTGATAGGTCAACTCTTGTTCTGGAGTTACAAAATGTCTGGCAGGCTCTCTAATTTTCACGAACACAGAAATCTACCAGTTGTGCTTGCTGAGAGTTGAAGGCAGGATCGAGGGATGAGCGTGGCCCCCCCTTAGTGGCAGAAAGAGTCAAGCACCCCTTTCCCTGAGTCTTGGCTTCCTAAGAGGAAGATTCAAGGCAGTAGTGTCCATGAGGCACAAGGGAAGAAGGAGAAGGTTTGTAATGTTGTCACCTTATGAGAGGCTCTGTGCTGTCCCCCTGAGATCACAGGATCACTCATTTCTCATATTAGTTGGTTTCCCAGATGGTGAGATGCATCTTGGCTTTGCCAAGACACCCTGGGGTCATTATTCTTAAGCATCTCCAGATGTTGACCAATGGAGTACTTGGGAAGATTTTGGTACTCCCCAGTAAGTCACACTATGTACTCCTTAGTCACACTGTAGTGTCTAACACAGGCTCCCCCAGCGATAGTTTTTGATAGTTTTGATAGTTTACAAGTCCAGAAAGACCTTCACGATCCTCTGAAGGAGGTCCAAGGATCCAGGGAGCTCCCCAGTATACTCCTTCCATCCCGTTTGATCCTAAGACAAGTTTCCCTATCCAGTGGGAGTTTCAAGGTCTCAAGACTAGCTGTATCCACACACATGGGGAAGGAGAAGGACATGTGTTCACATTTTTCAAAGACGACAACAGCACCCTCCATACCATCCCATGAGTCCCTCAGTGTGGGCAGGCCCTCCTCTCATCTCAGGATGGAAGATATATCCCAGCCTCTGACATTCTTGCAATCAAAATAGGGCAATAGTGAGCACAACAAGTCCAGAAATGGCCAGTGAGTTTTCACCCCGAGTGCTGAGGCACCATGGGAAACTCAGTATTTCTGGTGCTGCCAAGCAGGCTGGCAAATCAGACAAGGACACACAGCTAAGGACCTAAGGGCCTTCTCATGATTCTTCCAAACTGAGCCCACTGTGGTGCTGAGGTGCAGAAACAGGCCACCACCACCTTGCCTATGCAGGTACCTTGCCAACAGTACAGTGTCACAGAGAGAGGAGTGGGTCAATATACTATAACAGTAACCATAAAGAGAGATTATGTTAAAAAAAAAATCAAGTGCTGGAAGGCACAGGTAGGGGCTCATGCATGTCCTTGGGACGGTGTCTGGTCTGCAGCTGCTGCTTTTGTGTATGGTTCAGAGAACTTAGCTGGGTGGATTCCCTCTGTTCCCAATCCCCCAGATAGATTTTACCAGATAACCAATCGCTGTTTTTAGAGACCAACTTGAGCAAAGCATCCTGGGTTTACTCTTTCCCTCAGGACAGATTTCCTTCCCAGACATAAAAATGCCTTTTGTGGACATCAGAGGCCCACTGCGCTGCAAGCCAAGTCCCCAGGCCTTTGCCCAGCTTAACATAGTTGTACAAATAAGGTTTGTTTAATGCCTTTTGCAAGCAAAAGTTCTCCGTATGAAATATGGTCATGGGACTGTTCATTAGTTCTTACATAAGAAATGGTTCAGGAAGAGCAGGTTGGAGATATAATACCCCATACTTTCTTCTAAAGTCTTTATCCTTTGTACTTAAGTTCTTAATTCATCTGTTACTATCATCTGCATATACTATGAGATAGGAAGTGAATTCAGTTTCCCTCCTGCAGGTAACACCAACATGGTCTCTCGTTAGATTTTGTTAAAGGAGGGGGTTTTCTGCGGTGGCCTCTGCTGTTTCCCTTTGGGTGTGTCTTTCTCTGCTCCTTGTGTCCTCAGACTCTTCTTCCTTTTCTCTGGAACATTCCCATCTATACTTTTCTCCTTCAGGGGCCAGCCTATCTCTCAGGAGCCATGAAAAGAAAAACAAAAAACAAAACCCTAAGTTGGGGACTTTGCCCAAGCTTCATCCACTATGGATTGTGGTATTATATCCAATTTCTACCTTATGATAGGAAAGCAGGCAGAGAGACAAGAGGCAGCATAAAATATTAGCCAGAATTTCCTGATGACCCCTTCTAAGTCATTTGTCGCAGTTGCTGGGTAGTCTTTATTTGTCACATGCTATCTTCACCCAAAGACCCTTCTCTGGTGTATGACACCCTCATTGGCTATCCAGTTTCTTTGTGTGTGAATGCAGTGTCTGAGTCTGTGTTTTCATGTGCAGGGTAACTTGTGTTTCTTTCAAAGTAAGGCAGATGCCGAAATTCTGTTTTAGCAGTCGTTATTTGCAATTTTGTGTTTAGCAAACA